GTCCTGGCTGCATTGGCTGCGAGCTCGGAGCTGTTGGAAGTGTGCTTCAGCCTGCTAGGTTCAGGCTTTCGGGTTTAGGGTAGAGAGGATCTAGGGAAGGGACGCGGGGTTGCGTAGGGTCAAGGGTTTAGGATTTCCGGGATTAAGGTCGAGGTTTCAAGGTGATCAGGGTTAAAAAGACAGGGGTATTTAGGCAAGAAGTATATATGACTCTGTGGGAGATACGGTTTCGGATTCAAGGATTCAGGGTCTAGGGTTTAGGGTGACCGGGTTTAGGGTCTAGGTCTCAAGGCTCAGAGGTGTTGGGTTTAGGTTTGGGCAGGCGAGGGATTGGAAAGGTAATGGAAGACTCTGTCAACTCGCGCTCATTTATGTTATGTCTTTGGCAAATTTCATACACATGGCCCAGAAACATCGTGATTTGCTTGCTAAAATATCGCCATGTGCGACAAACAAGGGGACCGCAATTTTGACTCAATTTTTTAACGATCCTTTCTTGGGGACCCCCCCCCCTCCACCCCCCTACACCAAAAGCAAAAAAGGTACCCCCTAATTTGAGCAAATCCCATTGAAGCACGTAAAAATGGGTTTCAAACAAACATCTTTCTTTGCGAAGCAGGTCCGCTCCCTAAGACAACCCCGATCCACACAACAATCCGCCCTGTACTTGCGATTATCACTACTATTATTTCAACCGTTTGCCTGCCATTGTCTTTTCTCATTCTTGCTGTTTCTTTTTAGTTCCTCTTCTTGGCATTAGCTGTCTAAACATCATCCCACTGAACCTGCTATGTACTTTTCTTCTGGTGCTGTTTCCAACATTTTCTTAGAATGAAAAAATCCTCTATTCTCTGCTTCTTCAACGAAAATATTCCATTTCTTCGAGTAGTTTTTCCTGCTTGCTATTTCGATACTATCATCCCTGTCATAATTTCTTGAAGTGGCCTTCGCTTAAACTCAGGTTTGCTCCAAGTTTTTTTGATTTACACCCGTCAATGTTTATCTTTCTATGCCTCTCTCCAAGTCAAAGCAGTTTTATTGTACACATAGCTGGGACTAGAAGCGGGAGAGATATTTCTGATGATGCAAAACTTCCATGCTATTGGACACCAAACACAAGAACAAACATACAGATGTTGGTCCATTTGTTAAAGACAATACCGTAGAAGCAAACGGAAAACAGGACGGGATTGCAGATGTGATTACACGTAGTTCAGGTTCTCAGCTGTAGGGCAACAAATAGTTTATGATTATGGCAAGGTGCGCAGACGCCGTAGTTTTGGTTCGGTGCAAGGTTTATGCAGAGGCCTCGGCGGGGCCCTCTTGGGAGTGGACAGGTTCTGGGCTTCCCTGGGCCAGCAAGAACGACACCCACAGCCAACAAGAAGACGTCCACACTCAAGGACACGCACGGTCAGAAAAAAGCTGTGAATGGCAAAACAGGAGGTATTATTACTAGTATGACGGTTATCGCTATTTTGGCGATTTATTAGCATTATTGATTATGAATTGGAGGTACAGAGGCTCCTCCAAAATGGAACACACCTAAGCCTCTTTTTTAAACAGCCCTAAGCACAAACAAACCTCAACTGCAAGCCGTAGACTCAAAAGTTAAACCCGAAATTGGAAACCCTAAGTCTGATGGTTTAACAAAACTCTAAACCTTTCCTAGACCTTAAACCCTAGATCTTACCCTACATGCACATGATTGTAGCATTTTGGGCTCTATGTTGCGGGCCCCCTGTTTGTGGAACCTACCAAAACTCTATTGAATCCCTACACAAGCCCATTTTTTATTATTTCCATGTGATTCTCCATTGGTGGGGATAATGTCCAGAAACCCTCACACCTGAAATCCCTTACCGCCTCAAAGCCCTAAGCCCCAAGCCTGAAGCCCCTGTTCACCATCAAAACCCCAACCCGAACCCCCTGAAGCCTAAACCCTGGCCCCCAAAACCCTGAAACCTTAAACCCCACAGGCCAAAACCCCTAAACAAAAACTTTTTCCTTTAGCGCGCGAAGGGCGGTGCCCAGCGCGCTCACACTGATACACGCCCTAGACCCTAGACATTAAACCCTATCCTTTATCAAGGGCTGGCTGTCTGGGTCTTCTTCACCTTCATGGTGACGATACTCAGCTGCTGCACGTCGCTGGGGGCTCGGAATTGCGATTGAGGGCCGAGGGTTGAGGCTTTAGGGTATCAGGGGCTTGGGTTTGGGGATTAAGGGCTTGTGGATTTAGGGGTTTAAGGGTTGTTGAGTTGACGGGCTTGCGAGTCTGGCGGTTTAAGGGTTTCGAGCTTTAAGGGTTTCCGGGTGTAAGGGTGTAGCGGCTTCCGGGCAAGGGCTCAGGGGTTCGAGGGCTCAAGGGTTTTCAGGTTTGAAGGTTTAGAGATATTGCCCCCAACAATGGAGAAGCAAGTGGAAAAAGAACATGCAAGCTGAACTGGGAAGTAGGTTCATAGAGGGGTTATGTAAGGGACTATATAGAATCCCTAAACTCGAAACCTTAAACCCTAAACCCTAAACCCTGAACCCTGAACCCTGAGCCCTAAACCCTAAACCCTAAACCCCAAACCCTAAACCCTAAACCCTCAACCGTCGGGATTGAACATTCCTAGTATAAAGCTGTGGTCTAGGGAACCTCCAGTAGACCTCAGAAGGAGATGGCCACACATGTGGTCCTTTTTGGGGTGCCGGGGGCGCTTTTTTCTAAGGCGGCACCTACCTAGGGTCTGGAGTGGTGTTTCTTTTGGGGAAGGTTAGGGTGTGGGGAAAACCCTCAGCCGTCAAAGGTTTAGGGTTTAGGGTTGCGGTTTAGGATTTCGGGTTTAGGGCCAGGGTCCAGGAAAAGACTCTAGACCCTGAACCCTAAGGCTTGGAGTTTGGGGCTTCGGAGGGGTTGGCTTCCGGAAGGCATGCGGTGTCCTGCAGGTCCCCATCTGTGGGCATCCGTTTTATTACGTACGGAAGATGAAGCCCTAGACCCAAGCCCTAATCCCTGAACCTTGAGCCCCCTAAGCTTAGATCTTAAAACCCGAAGCCCAGAATCCTTACACCGTTAACTCCCTGAACTCGAAGCCGCAAGCCCAAAATGTTACCCTCCGCCCCCGTCGCCCCCCGACGACCCACCCCCCCCCCCCAAGGCCCCCTCGCCCCCAACCCCTTTGAAGAGGTTCTTTACATTCCTTTTTCTCCTTCTATCATTTATCATTTCTATCCCGTACAAAGCAATCCGAATTTTCGATACGATTCCGATGGTACCTCATAAAGAGGAAGACATACTCCTTTTGAGTATGGTATCTTTTGTAAAGATATGAACTTGCCTGGTTCAACCGCCAAAGAAGAACTACCCCTTAATTACAGGGACCCCAGCAACCCAAAACCCCTGAACCCTGAACCCTGAACCCTGAACCCTGAACCCTGAACCCTGAACCCTGACCCCTGAACCCTGAACCCTGAACCCTAAACCCTAAACCCTAAACCCTAAACCCTAAACCCCAAACCCTAAACCCTAAACCCTAAACCTTAAACCCTAAACCCAAACCCCAGCTGGTGCAATGCCAGGTGCTGCCTTTGCTCAGAGGCCAAGAAGGAGGGTGCGAAGTATTCCGGCGCAGCAGAGAAGGAGTAAACGATTTGAGAGGAGTAAACGATTTGAGGTACAAGGTTTAGGGTTCCCGTTTTAGGGTTTAGGGTTCAGGGTTGGTGCGCCGGATTGCGAGCAAGCTTTTCCTCCGCTTGCTCGGTTGGGAACAGAGAGACCATGACAAGGAGTATCATCGTATTGCCTAGGAATTACTGTAAGGGCCGGTTCTCAGCCAAATGTTTGAAGCTCACTTGAGCCCCTTGCAGACGCATGCAATTGCGCATGTTTGGTAGTGCATGCCAGCATGTCCACCTTGAGATGTAGCGGGCGACTCTTGCGCTACTGGGCTACAAGATGCCGTCCGCGTCAGCGTCTTCAAGGATTGGTGTTCTGCTTTTTGGGTGTGCTTCTCAAATTTTAACCATCTCAACTTTCATTCCCTGAGGTTTTCTAGATGGGGCCCGCAAGAATGTCCGCATTTGAGAAGCCCGCAGTTTTCACGTGCGATCTGACTCGCAATACATTGTTCCTGTGTAGCTCTGGCCAGCAGTGCCTGGGCTGCCCAATACATGGATGATGCATCAAGGTATGTGCCTGACCTTTGCCACCTTTCCCCTTACTCGATGTGTCGTTCAGGGTGAGTACACTCTACTGAGTCCCTTCCCCTAATAGTAAACACCTCCCTCCCCTGTCTACTCAACTTCAAGTTCATTGAAATCTAGTTCAAGCTGACGCGAAAACGAATTGAAATGTAATTGCTAGAACCACTTAAACTCACATTGAGATGGATGTAGTGAATTCCGTACTAACAGCTATATAAACGCGACACAATCTCAGGAAATCAAGGGAATCCCTACTTCCTTTGGACCCCTCATTATAACCACCCTAGTGACGACCTCAGAAGCCCCCTAATTCATTCTTGCCTGGATCCCTTTCAAAAGTAGTCTTGGCCTTTTTCTTGTGAACTGGGAATTCTCTGGACAAAGTCTTTGGGCGCGTTGGTTATTGGGAGGAAAGGAATGTAACTGTGCCTCTAAGCCCCCGAAGTTTCCCAACATGGTTGGGATTGGGTTTGAAGTAATTACCAGCTCTGTTGCTTTACATCACCCTCTAACCTTGCATAGCCCCTGTCAAGGCAGGACAGGCACTCTTGCTTGCAAGCTTGCGGCGTGCTGTACCTGCCAGCACCACCGCTTTCTACACCCGTCAATACCCGTTGAATTGGAGGCCAAACAGGCACAACGTCATTGCAACATTCGGTACTCCCCCACCCAGCAGCAGGTTGAAACAGTGCTAATGTTAGGGACCACTGCATGTATGTAAGTATAATATTTGTACCCAGCTGCAATATTTTTTCTCAACATGCATAGTAACGTGGCCTTCAGGCTTGCCCCTCTACCAAGCTTGGTAG